ACTCTTCCAGTAAACTGCAACTTTCATGATGGCAGGGAATACATTTGTGCTTGCCACTGTAGTCCCAGAACCTAGCATAGTGTCTGGCACAAAGTAGACAGTTAATAAATAGCTGCTGAAAATACTATGAAACATATACAATCATGGAAATGTTTCAGCTTCTGAGAGTGAAACAGCCCCAAATTATCAAATCAAGGCTGATAAAGCTTAAGGTTGAGCTATTCTGTTATTTTAAAAATATAGGAAAGATTTTGCTGTTATTTGGGCTTAAACTGATTATGGAGACAATTCTCAAAACAGTTTGACTAATAATTTAATAATACTCATTTGGAATATATATGGAAATGACCACTATTAATATATTTTTTTAATGGAATGAGTTCATTTTCAAAAAGCTTCACCCAGGTTAAGCCAAATTAAAAAAGAAAAGCTACTGCTTACTTTATCAGGTACAGTATTAAACATTCTATACACATGTTTTTCATTTAATTCTCATATCTGATTATTACTCCCAGTGCACAGATGAGGAAATTGAGGGTGCGGAGAGGCGGAGGTTACACACTGAGTGGCAAAGCCAGGAGTCACATCTGGGTCTATTTGATTCCAAGAGCTATGTTTTTCATCTAAGCCATGTTTTAAGCTAAGAAATAAATGCTGACATTGAGTAATAATGTGTTGCCCTCTCCTATGTAAAGGTACAAGCATACAATCTGATACCACCAACTGGGCAAATGCCTAACTACTTAAAATAGGGTTTGGATGCCAATGATGTTGCAACAGGGAAACTAGGCAATTCCTGAAAGAGGAACAAGGAGGAATATGAACTAACATTGACTGAAAACTTGTGTTATGCCAGACACTGTATTAGATAGTTTCATGTATAATATTTCTTTTAATTGTTAGGAATCCTGTGTGATGGGTAATATTGGTCAAGAAAGAGTTGCAGAGGAACTGTGGTGTTTGGCTACCCAGTGTTCATTCTCTCCTTTTTCCTAAGGAGGTGAACCTCCCACATTTTAGCTGGGCATAAGGCTATCTGAAATAAGGACAATATTATGACATCTCTACTCCAGCTAGGTGAGGCCACATCACCAAGTTCTGGCCAATGAGATGTAACAAGAAGTATATGACAGCCTCAGAAACGTTCCTTAAGAGACCTTCCTTAAGAAAGGCTTTTGCCTTTCCTCTCTCTCCTTCCCTTCGTTCTACTACAGTACTTGAACCTGGATGTGATGGCTGAAGCTCCACCGAGGACCATGAAGTTGAGGGCCTCGCCTGCGGTATGATAGATCTAAAAGGTGGAACTGGCCTAGGTCTCAGAAGACTGTAAAACCATCATGCCAGCCCTGGAGTGTTCCTCTGTAAACTTTTTTTTTCTTTTTTAGTGTGAAAGAGAAACAAACGTCACTTTGTTTAAGCCATTGTTCTCTGCGGTCTCTGTAATTGGCAGCTAATCTTAACTAACCCAGCAACTCATCCAAACCCAGACCTGCAAAGTCCATGCTCTTAGGCAGAAGCCTGAAGAACTCCTACTTACAATTTGCAATAGATTGGGGGTGGGGGTGGTATGAAAATACTGCAGAGGAGTTTGACCGAGGAAGGGAGGTATGAATATGCTCTCAAATTGGCACACTTGAGAAACGATCAGAAGGAATATGCTAGTTGACAGTGAAGAATTTCGCCTCCCTCAGAGACGGGCAGAGGATGATCTCAGGTACCTGCATGGAGCTGGAACCAGAAGGGGAATAGAAGCTGTGCAGCTGGTAGCTTCTGTGAAAGATGCTGCTGGCTGAGGAGCAGGCATTGTAGAATGGAGCTCTGGAAATGGCCACAGGATCAGAGAGGCAAGAAGAGTTACAAGAAACTCTGAAGTGAAGAAGTAGGAGATGAAGTTCAAAGATACAGTCTGGAAAAGCACAAGCAGATTGACCCATATCAACGACAGCATGAAGGTCAAAAGGCAAAAGGAAAGATCAAGGTTGAAACTCTGACAACTTACTCATTTCCTTTACACAATTCACAACACCACCGACGTGCATTTAAATTATGTTGGAGTGGAGTAGAATCCTCAGTGAAAGGCAGTTGTAGAACAGGGGTTTTAGTATTACCCTTTGTTGAATTTCTAAATCAACAGCAGTGTTAAGATCTTTGAAGAGAGATTCAGTGACTGCAGTTAGGCCTACTTTTATTTAAGATCGTAATGACCCAGAGAAGAAAAAAAAAAATAAGCTATGCCCGCCAAAGAGAGTATTTTAAATACTAGAAAAAACTATCATAAAGGTATGTTGGAAATTTAGAAGCTACAGATAGAAAAAAGAGTGGAAATAGGCAATGGCAATGGAAGAAAAAGCAGCAATATGAAAACAGACATGGCACAAATTAGAAGGCATTTTACAACTGGTTAAATAAATTGTGCTATAATTGGGCCTCTCAAATTCGTTCTGGTTGGTCACAGGTCTAAACTGCTGCAGGATCCTGTGCTCTGGAGGCAGGACAACAGGGAGAGACATGCTTCCTACATGGAAAGCAATGCAAATCATTCCACCAAGTCAGGAGTAACACGTCAGATTCAGCATACGTTCGTTACTGAAATATCAGTGTAGGCTAGAAGGATGTTGAAAAGGAGAACAAAAATAAAATTCAGGCCCTCGCTGGTTTGGCTCAGTGGATGGAGCGTCAGCCTGTGGACTGAAGGGTCCCAAGTTTGGTTTCGGTCAAGGGCACATGCCCGGGTTGCTGGCTGGATCCCCAGTAGGACGTGCAGGAGGCAGCAGCTTAATGATTCTCTCTTATCGTTGATGTTTCTCTTTCTCCCTCTCCCTTCCTCTCTAAAGATAAAAAAAAAAAAAAAATCAATAATGAACATATCATCAGCTGAGGATTAAAAAAAATAAAGTCATGCAGGCAATGGTTAGGGATCCTCCCATCTTCTCTCAGAGGACTTTCAGAGGAAACTCACTTTTAAATGGCATAATAATAAATAAAATTCAGAAATTCAATCTTGAGAGACAGTAAATGGAAACCGGGGATTAGATTAAATAGACTATTTTTATATGGGCAGCAAAATCAAAAAGGAACATAAAAATACTCATATGCCATCAAAAAGGATTTGAAAATTAAAAAATAAAAACTTGTTTACAAATAAAAACTTTGGTTAAAGCAAGAATCTCCTAAATATATTTGCCCCTCTCAATCTCAGAAAACAAAACCAAAAAATTACAAATTTCAGACCACTGCAGGAAAATACCCACACAGTCTAAACAAAATGATACTGTTGTCAACATAGGTTCATCCACTGTAACAAATGGACCACTCCGGGGTGGGGCATGATGATATAGGGGGAGGTTATAAGTGAGTAGGGGCAGGGGGAGGGGGTATATGTGAAATCTCTGCACTTTACTCTCAATTTTGCTGTGAATCTAAAACTACCCTAAAGAATAAAGTCTATTAAATAAAAAACTTGGACAACCTGGTACCTTTTCATCAACATAATGAATGTTGCTTTCATTATGAGGATTCTGAATAATACTGTCAACAATAAAATTAAATCAAATTTAAAAAATAAAGAAGAAAACAGCAACGGGGATGGTCTTCAAAAAGCAGATTTTAACTCGTCAAATGAAATCACTCCAGATGTGAAAACATTCATGTTGGGCTGGACGTGTCAGAATACCTTTCCAACCGAAGAAACACAGTAAGTTTCAAAGAACAGTAAATTTCATTTTAACATTTTTTTTTTCTGTAAGAAAAACATTTTGTGGGGATAGTAGGTATAAGAAAAGTGCCACGATTCAACTGTGGACTCAGTGACAACTCTGCCCACTTCACTACCTGAACTAAGAGAATAGCAGACTATTAGGGTTTATAATCTTCAATCACACTGGCCCAATTACATCAGAGATTAGCTGTCATTTGCCTTCAAGAGTGAAGCTGCGGATTAGGAACGCCAGGGGCCAAAGAAAGTCACCGTGGCACCCTCGACTCAGAGAGCATTGGGGGTTCGCAGGGAGATGTAACCTGAACACATGCAGGGTACAGGAATGATACTGCCGTTTGGATTCTTCTGTGCGCTTCAACCCTACACTTGTGTTTAGGAGACAGGACAGTCTGATAACGACACATGTCATTTAACTGCTTCTTAGAAAGAGGGGAACACATTTCCCATTTTAAGTTGGCTGCATGTTTGCACACTGAGAAGTTTCATAGCGATATCTTTTTACAAATTTTTTTTTTTTAAGTCTTTAGGCAAGGCAAATTTATTGAAGGAAGTTCACGTGTAAGTTGCTTTTAAATTTAGTTTTGCTCTTGTCTTGGGGGGAGGTGAGAAGGGGTGCTAAGAGGGTGTCTTTCTGACCACAAAGAAAGGTCTTCCACAGAAGTCATCTAAGGGCAACCTATGGACTTTGGGCAGTCGGTTGAGGATACAGAGTAATGAAGAAACAATGCCTCCTCCCTTCTGACGTCTCAGCACCTGCCCACTGCCCCCCGCGAGGAGGAAACTCTTAGCTTCTCTCTTAGGCTGCCCCCTTCTCCAGCTAACAGACGGATGCCAACACCACCATCACACTGGAGGGGAACAATGAGTGTCCAATGAGCACAAAATGTTTGTCAACAGCGCGAGGGCAGGGGGCACAGGAGAGCGACCCCACGCGTACTCCCCGGGGAGAGTGCTCATCACCCCGGGGCGAGACCCCAGCCTGCACAACCAGAACCGCGCCCCCACGCCGCCCCGGGACCCACATTCAGGTGCAGCGCCCGGAACGCCGGGCAGAGCGCGGACCGCCTCGCTGCGGACGGGGACGAGGGAGCGGCGAGGCCGTGACTCTTGGCTCCGGCGCGGCCAGCCGCCCGCACGCCCAGCTCGCAAGGGAGGGTGGACAGGTAACCGCACCTGTTCGGCCACCCCCACCTGCTGCGCCCCCTCACCCCGTCCTCAACCTCCAGCACCGGGGGCCGGTCGGCACCTCTTCCGCGAGCAGGGGCGTCCCACCCCGACCTACCTGCGCGAGTCCAGCCCCCGACGCCCGCGCCACCGCGGCGGCAGCCCTGCGCCACTCGGGGCGCGCAGGCGGCGGCCCGGCGCCCGCACTCCGTCCGCTGCCGGCGGCCGCGGGCTCAGCGGGAAGCCCCAGCGCTGGCCGGCGCGCCGCCTCCGACCGGCTCCATTGTGACGCGGCGCCTTCCGCCGGCCAATCGCGGCGCCGCGGCGCGAACCGCTGACTAAGTTCGCGGGCGGAGGAGGAGGGGACTGGGCGGGGGCGGAGGCGGCGGCGCGGGGGGCGGGGGCGGTGTCCGAGGAGGAGGAGGAAGAAGAGGGGAGAGAGCTTGCGGCGGCTCCGGTAGCTGCTCCTGCTGTTAAATGTCCGGTCGCCTCGGCCCCGGACTGCGGGGGCCGGTGGCGCACCCCGCGCCGGTGCAAACAAAGCGCAGCTGCCACCGCCATGCGGCCGCCCGCCGGCCGCTCTCTGGTTCGCCGGCCACACATCGCCCGGTGGCGGGGGACGCAGGGGGTGTTTTCTAAAGACGCGGGGGAGAGGCACACCGTGTGGGGGACTCTGGAAGCACAGTATTTATGTGTGGGCCCCGCCTCCTCACGGGTGCACCCCGGAGTCATTTGCGATTTACATAACGAGCGCTGGGCCCCAAGGGCAGGCGCGGGTGGAGCGCGCGGGAACCTGCCTCTGACACACACAAGGCCAGTTCCTTCGCCCTTCTTTACACCGCGCGCTCAGCGAGGCTGCAGGGCTGAGCGTGTGCGGGAGAGTTTACAGTTGCAGCAAACTGAACGGCTTAAGTTAGGATTCTGGGCCTCCAGTACCATCCACCTCTCGAAGGTTTTTTCTTTGGCCTGGAGAGGGCACAACGTGGTAGAGGGGCCACCCTGTACTCCTAACCGGCGTGTAATGGCTAACACTGCAGGGCCGCCCCATCTACTGTCCCGCCCCCTTCCCCCTGCAGTTGTGGCCCTGCGTTTACATAACGCAAAACCAGGCATTTGGGAGACTTAATATTTTATCCACATTCATCCCCACTCTCATCGCCACCCCAGATTTAAGTCAGTATTTTTGCAGGGACTTGCTTCAACAGTGAGTGAGTTAGACTACCTTTGTAGCTCCGAGTTGCTATGGCGACCACATCCCCATTTATTTAAAAAATGTTTGTACAGGGACCTCCCGAAAGTAAATGAAGAATTATATGAAACGCCCAGCATTTGGGACCTATCTGGTCAGTTTGTGTAAATGGGAGTACGGAGAGTGGCACAACTGAGCTGTGTGAGACTGAGTTGTGTCCCAGGAAGAATGTTCAGATTGGGACCCCAATTTGAATTACCCTGAAAGGGAAGAAGAAGGCTGTCTGTATGACGCTGCTCTATTCTTTTCTCACCCCTGCCATCCTGGGCTGGCAGCTGTCTTCTTACTGAGACCTAGAGGAAGGGCCGAAAGAACCTTCTTTCATTTGGTTATTCAGAGAGTTTTTATGGTGTTTATGTGTGAGAAGCACTGTGTATGTACAGATCTACGAAGCTAATTTAGAATTGGTTTTGGTCCTCAAACTGCTTATTACTTGGAAAGGAAGATTAAAAAACACACACAGAATCAAATACGAAACAAGGAAAAAGTGAATGATAGAAGATACTGGTTATAAAATCATGAAATTAAAATTTGAGAATGTCTAGTTTTCTATAGGTATCTTGGAATGTTTGGAAAGCAAGGTTCTCTCCCAAATCCATGAATACATCACTGATTCTTCTGTTACAACAATATCACTATCTGTGTGACTGGGGGTGGTTACTTAACCTCCTTGGGTGAGCCTATAAACTAGATGATCTGTTAAGATCCCAATTCCAAGGATGGTATGAATGAAAAAGTGACCCAAGTTGCCATTAGCAGGAAGTTAAAGTGATGAAGTTCAATAAAAATGTATTAGGTTTGGGTTGATCTCAGACATGTAGGTTATAAATGTGTTTCTTTTATTCTGCTTCTCATGAACAAAATCGCCCTCCCAGGTGACAACATTTATTACTGACACTGGAGAAAATGTGTGATACTGCTTCTGGGAAGCGTCCTCTGTAACCATAACATGACATAAATGTTTCTGTTGTTTTCTTCCTTCTGCAAGACTTTTTATCAGCTCCTGCTTGCATTACAGTGCGGAGGAAGATAACCTCAAATGCTGGAGGGGCAGCGGCAGCCACAGGGGGCACACAGCAGAAGGGCATGGCCGCCTGTCTCCTCTGGTGTGTGCTGTGGAGCAGCAGCAGCGGATGGATACTGGGGGAAGAGCCGGGCAGGAAGCTGCAGATGGTGGGCCAAGGCCTTTCATTCCGTGTTTGACAGAAACCTTGGTTCTGTCCTAGCGCGGATCCCTGCAGGGGCCGAACTGCGTGTGCGGTCATGATGTCAGCATGCACCCAAGCTCTGGAGGGAAGAAATGCAGCAGAAAACTTGGAAAGAAAAGAGCAGTGAACCCTACCACAGAGAGAGTACTTTCCAAGGGACCGCAGTTGTGTGGCTGCGGTAGACATTTTACACTGGGAGGAGTTATTCCAGCACTTTTACCCACATGTTCCAAGTCAGCTGAACGCATCAGTCCTTTCAGCCGAAACTGCCTTAGACATTGACCCTTTCATGCCACAGATTCTACATCTAAATGAAATAAAATGGCATTTGTCTTTCTCTGCTTCTTGGGGTCACCCCCCACACAGCAGCTTGCATGCTGTGGCTATGGTGAATCCTCAGCCAGTCAGCCTGAGGGTCATTCCCACCCACTGACATGCCACAGCAATCAAGGCTCAACTACAGCAGAACACCTGCTCAAGTAATTAGGAAACTGTGCCACTGGGCCCCACAGGAAACCTACTACATAAGGCCACCCTGCCAAGACTCAGAGATATAGCGTAACGACCTAATACATAGAAACAGAGAGGCAGCCAAAATGAGGAGGCAAAGAAACATGTTTCAAATGAAAGAACAGGAAAAATCTCCAGAAAAAGAGCTAAATGAAATAGAGGCAAGCAATCTACCAGATTTCAGAACACTGGTTATAAAGATGCTCAAAAAACTTAGAATTTCAACAAAGAGCTAGTAAGCATAAAAAGGACATAAAAGCCATAAAAAGAACCAGTCAGAAATGAAGGCTACAATAACTGAAATTAAAAATACACTAGAAGCCATCAACAGCAGATTAGTGAAGCAGAGGACTGAGTTGGTGATTTGGAAAGCAAAGTAGTAGAAAACAAACCAGCAAAAAGATAAAAGGATTAAAGAAATGAGGATAGTTTAAGGACCTCTGAATCATTCACTCTGGGAGAAGCCAGCTGCCATGTTGTGAGGATACTCAAGCTGCCGTGTGGAAATGATGCTGAAAAGAGGAACTGAGGCTCCAGCCATGTGAGTGAGCCACCTAGAAAGGGGATCCTCCAGCTTCAGTTGAGCTTTCAGAGGACTGCAGCTCCATCTGACGTCTTGAATGAATTTTCATGAGAGATCCCACGTCAACACTTAGCTAAGCTGCTTCTGACCCACAGAAACCTTGAGAGATAATAAATATATGTTGTTTAAAAAAATGCCATTCTCAGAGAACTTTAATACTATATACAAGATTTGGGTCCATAAAGAAGAGAGAGTATTTTAGTAATGACAAATATTTGCATCTCATAGTAGGCCTTAGAATAAGAAATACAAATAGTGTTTGGCTTTTTATGTCCAGTCAATCTTTTTGAAAAATAGGACTCATGGAGTCTTGGATGATATGCAGTCCCTACAGGGATATCCGAAGTCTAATAAAGAATTCTCTGATCAATTTATTTTGGTAAAAATTCTAAAAAGCTCAGTCACTATTTCCACCACCAAATTCACTTACATTGGAAATAATGATTCAAAATTCCATCATAGATATTAAGTACATATTATGTGTCCATCAAAATACTAGACAACAGGCATGATACCAAAGAAGCATCAAAGTTGGTCCCAGTCCCTGAGCTCAGCCACTCGCAACTTAGACAAGTGCACAGAAAACAATCAAGCATAACTTAATGCGGATGAGGAGACTGAACAATGCAGGTGGCAGTAGTCAGAAAAGGCCTCATAAAAAAGGGGAAGTTCAACAAATAATGAAAAAGAAGTCTTAGGAAATTAAATTCGATATCTTTGCTTTATCTGCCCCCAAGATTGTCTTAAAATGATCAACTCATCCTCAGGGTTCAATCTCTCTCTGGTGAGCTGAGAACCTCTAAAAGAATCAAAGGTAAAAATATTCTACATATCCCATTAAGTATAACAAGAGCTACTTGTAGGGTCTTCACATTCATGTGACAAAGGGATAACTGAACAGCAAATGTGGCCAGTGTCTCTACCCAATGAAACAAGCAAAGTCACAAATAATAGAAATGAAAGGATCACTACAATTTGGTCATCTGGTGGCTGTATTTCATGACCCTCATGAAGCAATCAACTAACACGGGTTTGGCAGATCCCTTCTGAGCTGATTCCCTGGGGAAAAAAAACAAACAAACAAAAAACCCAAAACCTCTGAGTGACATGACCATTAATCTATGCTTCATGTGGTTGCCTAACTAAGAGTTTAGTTTTCTCTGAGTCTTAAGAAAATTTTTATGACTAATGAAGGACAATTTGATTTAATAGTAACAGTTCTTTCCCAATTCATTATCCTAAAATTATTTATGATGATGAAAAATCCTCTTTTAATTAAACATTTCATGTCTACAGTGTATAAAAAAAAGCACTGGGGATATGACAGTAGGAAGGGAGTATGTCAAAATAAATAATTCCTTTACTTAAAAATATAGTATGCTCTAATGGGGAAGATATATCCAGCAAGAATACATCATCTTAAAGGGGAGAGGGAGATGAGGTTGGTGGATCATGTAGTGTTGAAAAAGAATCATACTGAACATGGGTCTGAGGAAGTTTGGCTAGCTTTAAGGTTCTAAATTAAAATATTGTCTCAGCATCATGGTTCACCCTAGATACCATTTCAGAAGAAAATAAGAAATGTTAGAAGCCATTCACAATTTTGCATTCTCAGAAAGTTTGTCAGAATCCCCCTGGCTCAGCTGTGTATGATTGAGCATATTGTCATTGATAAAGAATTTTATTTATTTTTGACCACTT